ACTACTGAACTGTTAGTTGAAAATTGTTGGTAGAGCGCTGCACCGGTATCGCAGAGGTAATGGGTTCAAATCCCTTGCGGTCCTAACTTTTTTTTCAGGTCCTATTTTCTGGTACATCACATTTTGTGGTCACCTCTTACTCCTTTTTTTCTCCTTCTCAGGCTTCCGCGTGCTCAGCGATCTATAAAGCTGGCAGTTTTTTTGTTGTTTTTTTTTTGTTCATTTGGAATCTAAAGATCAGAGAAAATTTTGGATCATCAGACAACTTTCATTATCTCAACTTTCTGTGCCATTACACCACATGTTACGTGCCTTCCTTCCTTTTTCTTGCGAACAGTATCTTATTTATCTCAAGATCATCCATCTATCGAGACCTTTGGTATTAATGAACTAATTTCATTATTTCCTTCTGATTCTGAGAGTTTTCTGCTGTCATTCTAGTTGGTCAGGACAAGGGTGTCTCCTAACATCGAAGAACGAATGTTATACCGAGTGCAGCTGCAATCATTTGACTCACTTTGCAGTTCTTATGCAGTCTGACTGGGGAACCAGCATTAACTTTATAAGTAAGGTAGGAATATTGATAAGAATATACATGCATTGATTTCAGAAGGAACTTAGACTTCACAGCATTGGGTTAAATGGTGTGTAGCCCTCTTCCGTTACCGGTATTGAATCACTGTTTTTGCATTCATTTTTAAGACTGACGAAACAGCGCTGGAAATTCTTACATATGTGGGCTTATCTTTTTCTCTGGTTGGAATCACTTTAACAATCATCAGTTATGCTGTTCTTACGTAAGTACATGATATAGTTCCACCCAAGAATTCCAAAGCAAGCCGAGCATGTAGACCAACAAGAGATTATAGCAGTTTAAATGTGTAAAGTTTAGATTTATTTAAGCAGCAAAGTAGAATCATAAAAATATAATCAGACTTTGTATAAAATGAGAATTGAACTGATGTAGAATAAAATCAATTGTTTATTTTTGATTAGAGACATGAGGGGACCTTTATCTCAGATTCGAGTGAG